CCTGTTGCAGATCTAGAGCAGTATGAGCAAATATCAGAGGCTTGGAAGCAACTAAGACATCAAAGAGAAGCAACTGGAGCTGTGGAGATGTCTTCCTAGCCACCGGAAAGAGCCCTTCTCTGGGGTAAGGGCTGTCTGTGTGAGCTCTCTCTGTTGGTGCAGACGAAGGAGAAGGTAGGGCTCAGACAAGGAGAAGAGAGAACAATTACTCTGCTTTAGTGAGTTCCTAATTTCCTAGAAACTCTTCATGGAGGGCCTCTACAGCTACGAGGGACTCTGAACTATAATTTGGCTCTCAGACTCTTGGAGAAAGAAGAGCAAAAGCCTAGAAAGTGAAGTTGTGGGGTTAATGTTAGCTCCTGTCTTCAGGACGATGCATTTTCCAACAAATGGTTTCAGAATTATGCTTTATCCAATACAGACAGTGTAGCCTATGATAAAATCCTTTACAAATTCATTTAAATAGCTTTCATTTATAATTAAAATTTAGCTGGAATTCATATATTGGAGAAAGTAGGTTTTTAAAAGATAAGTCTCTAGAATATTTCTTTTTGAATACAATTTAACCTTAAATATAAGAAAAAAAATCCCAGTCTTAAAAAATACCTTTTAACTAAATACTATTTTTTTTTAATATTCATGTACTAGAGATCAATCTAATACAGCCTAAACACCAGAAGTCATGTTAGTGTAACATGAGATTATTAAAGCCTGTTTAGAAATAAGAGGGTGTTTATAACATTATCTGCCACCCCTGCATTGGAAAGCCTGGGTACTTGATTACTCTGCATATATGCTGTTGTGTAATGATAAGCAGATTCTTAGGAACTGATTATTGCCTCCACTTTACTCAAGTGATCCTCGATTTCATCAAGAAGATTATCAAATTGATTTTTAGAATTGAAGTAGTTCCAATGAACATAGTAAATTTTCTAACTTGAAAGTGCTTCCTTATGATACAAGGACAATGGTTAAAAAATAAAACTTCAAGAAAGGCTCCACATGAAAACAACGTAGAATATGAGTAATTATCTCTTAACTACAATTCTCACTGATCAAAAAAATAAGCAAGATTTCCCAAGTATTTTCCTGCATGGCATATATTCTAATTGGAAAGATAATCATGCATTCTTGGATAAGAAGCTAGAATATTTTTATTTATTGATCATCTTGTACATTCTAGGCTATAGTTGCACAAGTGTATAATTTAATCTTGCAGCAGTCTTATGAGATGATTGTTAAAAATCTGAATTAATAGGTGAGGAAGTTGACATCAAAGTGATTACTAAGCTAAGCTGGGATCTCAAGCCAAGTCCACATAACTTCAAAACCTGAACTCCGAAAAAATCCTATACATTGAAATACATAATGATGTAGAATGTACTGCCATATCACATATCCAGCATCATCAAAAAAAAAGATATTCTACATAATATGAGGTATTTGATGCAATTTAATCCTATTGCCAATGCTGTTTTGTTTGGCATTTAAATCTGATTTCAAGTGGGAAAATGGAAGTTATGTTTGTGAAATTATGTGTTGATAATTAGTCTATCTTAGTCCTGGATAGTTGCAGTTGCTGGATAAGTTTTAAACTACTATGTAATTGCTGAGGAAACTTTTTTTAAAAAGGAAGTGGTTTTTATGAGTGGAACTAGTTTCATAGAGACCATTCAAACTTTGAGCTGGTTCATATTTGTAGGAGTGAAGATGAGAATGTTCTAAATCCTTTCTTGGTCTAATAAATGTTTTATTCATGAAATACATGAAATTGCAAAGGTACAGATGGGGGAAAGAGCAAACAAGAACATTTAAACGAAATGGATTTAATGCTGACCCTTGATCCTTCACGTTTTTCCATTGTTTATGATTTTATTCTCTTAATCGTCTGAGGTTTTTGGCAACAAGCATAATACATGCTTATAAAGCTATGTAGCTCTGTTAAAGCCAGGCATAGTGCTTGGCTCAATGGCCTTCCAAATCAAAATTCTAGACACTTTCCACACGTACTGGGTAAAGCAGTATTTCCTCTCGCTCATTCTAAATCTACCTCCTGTGAATTTCATTGCGCATCTCTTCCTCATTGTTAAGCAAAAAGAGGATACTCAGATTTCAGAAAAATAATTTAGATCATTTAAATTGATTGACATACCACAATGCCAAGGAATGCTGCAAATTTAACACAAAGACTAGGAGACAAGCTGATATAAAGTTCTTTAAAGATGGGCTAATATATGTTTATCTTGATGTGCCCACAGTGTCAAACACGATGTCTCCCTCAAGATAAGGCAAGCAGAGAGCTGAAATATAATACACATATCTACATGTATCAGACTCTACATATACACCATTGTACATGTCTCTACCTTGATTCTATATTAATATACCCATTTCTATTGATAAGGAAATTGAATGAATTGCCTGAGATCATGCAGCTGGTAAATAGCAGAGCTAAGATTTGAATTCACATCAGTCTGGCTTTTAATTTCACCATGCGATTTTCCGACTACATTTGTGGAATGTCGTCTTCATGGAGTTATCACCTCTCTAGTTCTATCCAGCCTCTAGAGGGAAAAGCCTGTAGCCCAGTAAAGTTGTAATTCGCAAGTGGCCTAATGGCCAATAGGAATGCCACATGTTACAGTCAATCACTTAGTGCATAATTCGTGTGTAATTAAGAGGTGAAAATTAAGGGGCATACAGTAACAGGCTTTGTTAATAGTAATGATGCTTTGGGGACTGGGTCTTTACTCTCATTTTCATTTTCATTATCACTGTAGAAAAACAGTAAATAAAGGCAGTGGATAGGATAGCAGCCTGAGAGGTAGAAAGAGGAGAATTAAGGGACAGTAATCTGTGGATTTGTTTACTATTGAAATGCCCTTCGAAGGCAGCTTTGCCTGCGTGGCACTTTTAACACTGACCCTTATTTTCATTATCATCATGTTTATAACATTTTTGCAATTTTATGGTACTGTTTGAATAATTTTAGAATGTTAATGCTCAATGCCACCTAAGTCTTCCAACAGGGAAGCACTGGGTCTCTGAACATTCTCGGTACCAGGGAATTTACTATTGATAAGAAAATAAATTCTAACCTTTAGATCAGTCAAAAATCTGCATTCCAACAGCTATCCTGAAATTATTCTGTAAGTATGTCTGAAAGAACTATGTGGCAAAATACGTTCCTAAGCTAGTTCCTTGGAGACTGGATAGTCTTCAATGTATATCAGCATTTCTGGATATGAGATCTGGTGACACATGCTATCACAGCTAATATCATACTTGTGTTGCTAAATTTAGGCATACCATTTTGGTACTTTTTCATAATTTTTCAGTTTTTAACATTTAAAACAAACTTGTATTTCATAAAAAAATGTTTAAACTTTAAAAAAAAATTATCACTTAATTAACACGGAGCCCGCCATATTACAATCATTTGTTTTTACTTGTCCCAGCACATGAGAAATGAGTGAGGTGCACCTATAAGGGTCTCATTTAGACCTTCATATTTCATTTAGAGATCACAATCTCAGATTTCAACGTCACTTCTTATCTACACAGGTCAAGTGTACCCCAAGAGAGCCAGAATTCTCCAGCTTACCTGTGCTGAAGAGTCACTTTGAGTGCTGTTTAAAAGGCCTTGGGGACTAGTCCAAGTGCCACAAAGTCCCATGACTGTTTGCCTAATGATATATTTAGGCTTCTCTCATGCAGATCTTAATCTTATTATTTCTACAGATATAGCAACTATTACTGCTAACTTAAACATGAGTTGTTCTGGGAGCTTAGAAATCACCTGTCTAAACTCCAGATTCAATAGACCTATTTAATATACAGTTATACCTCTACTTAGTGCAGGGTAGAAATGGAGTCAAGTCTTTTGACTCTTTCCAGAATAGAATTCATTAGTATGACTATTACTGCTATTCTTATGTTGAGTGATCTGGTATTTGACATTCTCCTTCAGTATTATGCAGGAAGTCTTCAAAGAAAGTTTTGAATGGCCTTCTACTCTAAGCCTTAATTGTAGGGAAGAAAACAATACTTTGAAAGGGTAATATATTAAATAGTGATTGAAAAACTGACTATTTGTGAGACACTCTGCTAGTTATTCTGGGATGTATAAAGATGAATAACACATAGTTCTTGCCATGCTGGAGCTTACAACTTAGAAGTCGTTAATTACTTTGGCCAGCATAATTGGGATATTTCACTGAATGAGAAATAATGGTGTATTAAGTCAGATTCAACACCACTTTGAAGTGCTTCATGATTAGTTCTACATAAAGTTGAGACTCCATTAATGTTAACTGGCATAGTAAAATAGAGGTATGTGGGGAAAAAAATCTCTCAATATGCTAAATTGATATACTTATAATGGATGTTGTTTAGAGGTCATGGTTGTTTGATATGAATGGAAGGAAATCATTTATAGTTGTTGTCATTATGATAAAACATGAAATTATCTAAAGGCTCCTATCATTTTCTAGTTAGTTCTTGAGCACATTTATTCATTACAATATAGAGGAGAGGTTTCCTTACTTGTAGTCCCACCATTCATTTCTTCAAGTTCACTGTTAATTCCAACATCTATGGAACTCATTATTTTGTCAATCTGTGAGAAGCAAAAACCATATAAATGAATTATTACATTTACTTTTATTGCTGAATTTTAAAATAACTTTTAAATGCCAATAGCATATATTCTTGATATTATTACCATTACAATACCACAGTTGAGAGACTGATAGAGAAAGGTTTAAGGGAAACAGACATCTTTTGATTTGCTTTTAAAAATATAAATTGTGTTTCACCTTCTTAAACTTTCAAAATCAACTTGCTTTTTCTCTCTATTTTCTAAAAGGAACTTTGTTTGGATCTACATGGGTCACTAAGTTAGGAATTGTGTATTCTTTAAACTCAGAAGGAGGAAGAAGATGAGAGTAAGTTCATGTGATGATTTCTGTCCTCTAGGGCATGCATCTCATCTGACTGGTCAAGGAGTGGTTTTCAGTTTGGGGGCTTGGCCATTGGAACCAAGTTCTTACTTCATGGTTTGACCAGCCATAAGTTGATTTGTGGCATAGAATCACAAGAATGTAGACATAGAAACAACTTAATTTTAAGAGATAAATTAAATATGAATTAATCCTGCCTCATTCCAAAAGAGATTTTCAGATGTTATTCACAGAGTTAATAGATATAAGAAATGGATAGACTCAAACAATCAGTCTAGTAGTATGGAATTTATAGGAAGAAATGACTGTCTAAACTTTAGCCATTTATGGTTTAATCCCCCTACTTATCATCCTAGCAACCCTAGTAAGACAGTAGGCTTTGGAAAGAACAGTGAGCATTACATAAATGTCTTATTTTGTTTACCCTGAAACAGATGCAGAGATTGAGTGATTTTTCCCAAACAGCTCAGTTCAGAATGTCAATATCGGAACCATTTCCATTTCTAGTTCTCAGAATACTATAGTGACCTATTGTGTTTCAAAACCCAATCCAAATGGCACAGTCTTTTGAGAGACAAAATGTGACATGTTAGAATGAAATGTCAAGGAAGAGTGTGGTCCATTCTTTGAAGAAATTCAAGAAAAAGTAAGAAACATTATTATTTTATGATGTAGTTCTCCTTAGGGACAAAGGGTGATATTTCATAACCTTACGAGGGCACTTACCCTCTGAGTAATTCTCTGAAATTAAAGACTGTCTTTAGGTAGAGCTTAAATTGGTGATACTCGACCTCAGCACATTTTTCTTTAATGTCTCTCTGATAGTCGTAAGACGGAAATATTAAGTAATTTGTGTTTATTATAAGATTATAAGAAGATCTTCTGAAAATATAAGATACTTTAAAGCAGGAAGACGATCTAACAAAGAGTTCAGAGAGTAGCAAAATGATACAGGACAGCAAAAATACAAAGATTTTTCTCAATTTGTCAGCTGCATCATTTGGGAGGACACGATGTGTCCTCATATTTTCCTGCACCTCATAGCTAGTTATTGCTTCTGCTTGATGTCAATTTCTATGGAAACAATAGATTTTCCCACATGTGCGAAACTGTGTTTGTTTTTTACACTCCCTGTGAAATTATTATGTATCACCCCTAGAACCTTTTCCTTCCCCTTGGAGCTGTATGTGTTTGTTAATTTTTTTTGCCTCTAAAAGACTTAAAAAGCTGAAAATCCTTCCCGCAAACCTCTCTTAACTCCAACCCCTCATATAAAGAAGAGCAAATCTTACTTCTTCCCATTCAGAAGTGAAGGATGGCGTTCTTTCAGAATGCCCTTTAGAACTGTGTTCAGCGGTTGAAGATTCACTCCAGTTAACTCTTGATGCTTTTTCATTCGAAGGGTAGGCAATGAGATCAGAATCTGATTTAGACACATTTTTTGATAAATGCATGTCAATCAGGGCTTTTGGCAATGACCTTATTCTCCCCAGGGTACAGGCTCTCTCCACACATCTCCCCGTGTTCACAATCCACTGGTCTCCATTTCGGGATCCACTCCTAGTTGCTCTTGTGCCAACAATGGTATGGTTTTCGAGTTGGTTGCTTTTTTTGTGAAAAATTGTTCTACTGACCACTTTGGGTTTAATTTTCTTCACCAAAGGTTCTGAGTTATTTTCTATTGGAGACTGCTTGAAAGGCAAAGGACTATTTGCCAAACTGACTTCATCTTGTCTTTCTTCACATTCATCCTTTTTCCCATAGAGATGAAATGGATTTTCAGGGGACTCACACGCTGGAGAGGATCCATGGAGAAGGCCTGCAAATTGCCCAGCATCATATTCTTTTGGGGGATCATTGTCCTCCTGTTGAGAGAGGTCATCTGCAAATAAGAGGAAGGACATTAGGATGCTTGTTTATACAGGAATCCGAAAGCCCTGATACAATAGCAGTGCCCTTTCGAACTTGTGTAATAGCCAAACATTTGATTTATTGCTACACAATAATATCCCCATAATCTGACAGTGCTGTGTATAAAAGACGTGTGTGTGTGTGTGTGTGTGTGTGTGTGTGTGTGTGTGTGAGAGAGAGAGAGAGAGAGAGAGAGAGAGAGAGAGAGAGAGAGAGAATATGAGAGCATGCTAGCGAGCAAATAGGATCTTCTTGATACACCTTAGGGTGTATTTCAGAAGTATGAATTAGGTATTAAATGAGTGATTGCATATCCTTCTCCCTTGTCCCCAGAGAATATGTTTTATATATACAATATAACAAAACTGGGTGTTTTAAAGTGAGACACCCATGTCCAAATCCTTCCAGTAAATGAGCTATTGTTCAGTAGGACAACAAGCAAGTAAATCGAGGTCATGCATAACGACATCCCTCTGCCCTTCTCCCAGCAAACAAATTCGCAAAACAAAATCTTGAAAAGTACAAAAAGTAATTTAAGGTTAATAATCCTAATAGTGTTACTTTAAATATAAAATTAAGAATAATTCTACACAGCTTACATAACTTAGACAAATAGGATTTGCTCAGGCTTAACATAGGCAAACAATGCTGTCGATATCACTAAAAAGTGAGACTCTTATAGGAAACTGATATTAAGCTATTAACATAAAGCTATCTTTTTCTTTCTTTTCTGAAATACCATTAGTTATTTTTGAATTTCTTTAGGTCTTTGAAAATGTAATGCAAACTAGAAACTAAAGAATGATAATTTTTATTACTTTATATTTTTTATTAAGACAAGATATAAATGTTCTCTGACATTTAAAATATACCATGTTTTTATGACCTAATTTGTCTTCTAAAGATACACTGGGTAAAAACCTGGCCAAAAAACTTAGCAAAGGAAGTCAGTTTACTTCTTAGACTGGTCATTTTAATTCATATAGCTAAATATCTGCCACAATCAAAAGTTAAATTACCCAATAAGCCTATAACCCAATCTTGTGGAAATAAAATCACATACTGTGTAGCCAATGTAGTAGATAATAATGACAAGTCCAAAGTTGACTCACCCTTTAAAGAAGTTAGTTATTATTACAAATCCAAAGATTTTATAAATTAACAAGTAACGTTTAATAGGTATGTGCTATTTACTAGGCACTGAATTAGGGGTTATATTTTCATCATTTCATTTGATTCTCATAGCAATCCTGTGAAATAATAATAATCATGATTTTTCTGATAGAAAGAGATATAGCCAGAATACTGAATTCACATATTTACACAAATCAGCAACCACAATTGATATTTGCCAGGAGGATGCTACAGACAAATTGACTTTTTTTGTTGAAGTTTGGTCCTAGGTCCCTGTGTAGTTCCCTATCTTGGAGCTGATAGAACAAGTTTGCTCCTGGCTTTGCATATCCCCAGACCTCACCCTGGGTCCTGTTTTACTTCTCCAAACAGATGATGCCCCCCTGCCCAGACCTATTACAACAGTATCCTGAGATGAAAGAAGGAAGAGTGCTAGGAAGAGAGGTCCAAGAGACAACAATCTAAAAGAGAAACAATTTGCACCTACGCAGCACTATTATAATCTTTTTATCTTCCCACAAAACTCTGTCCCTTGCTAGCGCAGATATACTACGACCTTGACAAAACTTCACTTTGTCCTCCTCTCACAACAGAGACCCTTCTTGGAATAGAACAGTGGGTGGAGAGTGACGCAAGGCAGCTTTGAATTCTTTCTAAAGGTTAGAGCTTATGGCCTATTCTGTACATTGTTTTAGAAATCAAAATTGACACATAATTTAAGTTGCTGCAGTTTCCCTAGCTGGTAAGTGGTTAAGCCAAGATTCAAACTAAGGTCTATCAGATTCCTATGCCCACTGGTGTGGAAAACGTATCACTATTAAGATAAAAGAATGTAGGGTTCAAGGAAGAGCAAGCAGGCCCTTTGTGAGGATGGACTTGTTTCTCCTGTTTATGACTGTGTCTGGAATTTGGGGTAAGTGGACTAAAAGCATTTTTTTTTTCTGCTTTATGGAAGTAAGCTAATGCTAAGAGTAATTGAAACCTGGGATTCTGTTCGAATTTATTTTCTCTTTTCCTAGGCTACTTGGCTCCCCCACAGTGCTTTACAACTGTAAGCAGATTGGTATGGAATGACAGTAATGGGTAAATAATGTAAAATGAAGTAGAAATTCTGAAATAAGGAAGTTTAGAATTTTATTTTGAAAGTTGATGACAAGGCTAAAAAGTTTAAGTTTGAAAGGAAAATTGAAAAGAATCAGCCTAGTATGGGAAAAAGATTATGTAAATATTAGTCAAGAGGTTTCTGACCATGCTCACAATAATGAATTTGAAGGGCATAATATTAAAGTTTTCTGTGAAGATTATTATTAATTTATCAACCCATCTGTAGTTTGATCAAAATGACTATAATCACAACTCCAAAATACTTTCTACTGTCCAAGTCCTCTAGTCACAAGCAGTGGCTTCCTGAAGTAAAAGAGAATTTAGTTAGCTTATGAGATTAGTCTTTTGAATAATAGTTTTTAGCACCATGACAGTTGGTAACTTTTTTGCTAAGAAATGTGAAAAGGCAAATATTATTTATTTATTTCTGTGACCAAACTCTAAGGATTACTCACTCAAGTCAGATACAAGGAGAAGTTGATATGAAACCTCCTGAAATGCCTGTTTGATTGCAGTTATGGCCCTTTATCCATTCCTCCCATAGGACTCTGGGTATGGCAATGTGCCTTGCTTTGGCCAATAGGACAATAGCAAACATGATATAGGAAGAGACTGGAAAAGCTCTTATGCATTGGGGCTTTTTCTCTTGCTGCTCTTGAAAACTGTTGTCATGTGAACAAGCCCAGGTTGGCTTGCTAGATGGTGAAATGATACATTATCCAGGGGGTTGAAATTGTAGGCTTTATTATTTATTATTAAGTATGAAGAGGCTAGCAGATCAGGAGACAATTGCCATTGAAAAGATAGACTGTATACTTTTAGATCCCAAGAGAAGGGAGCAGGCCATACTTTGAGTGGGGTGGGAGGGGCACACAGGGAAGCACCAGGATTGGTCAGGAGGCAGAATGAGTGAGGGAAAAGGTGGTCAACAGCTTGATAAAGATGTTGTTGGGCTATGGCTGTGGATTGGTTGGTTTGCATATGAAAGGAATGTTTGCAGGCCAGTTATTTACTATGTCTAAGAATTAGGAGCTTTGGGAGGGGTGGTCCCTCCAAAGTCAGCAAGGTCCCAAGACATCAAAGCATCAAAAAACAAACAAACAACAAATAAAAACAAAAAACAAAAAAAGGCGTGGTTAATACACCAGCCACCCCTATAACTTCGGTCGATAGCCAGTGAACCTCCACATAGTTCTAGGTAGTTTTGCCACAAGCATGTTTGCCTCAAACATTTCGTTACACAACTAATTGGCCATTTTAAGGCAATTTTGCCATAAAAGATGAAATAATTGATTGCCAGTTTGGTTTCCATTTGACAGACAATGTATTTTGTCAGTTTGGTTTCATTTTCCATTGATGGAAGTTCTCCTAGTACTCCTATTTTTATATTATATAAATCTTAGCCTTCATAATGGTTTATATGGTGACGAGTAGACGTGGTCATCTTAAAATATGGATGATAACAACTACATATGAAGCCAAATTGCAAAGCAACATGTAAAGCCAGATTGTATGCCCTGCTAAAAAATGATAATATATCAGTGTTTGCAAATCCTTCCATGAGCTCAATCATACTTCCCACTTGCCAAAACCAAAAGTTTACCAAGCTATGGCAAATATGAAAGGTGGCTGCTAATTCACAACGGTCTTCCAGAGGATTAACTATTAATTCTTTATTTGGAAACTGCTACCTCTTTATATAAAGGAAGAATTTTAGTGAAAAGGAAAAAAGTGCAATGCTGAATGAGATAAATCAATAAAGTACTCCCTCCCCTCAAAATAAAACAAAATGTAAAAACCCAAAAAATATGAACAAAAATCTTCAAAGACAATGTATTTTCTTTTTTCTCAATAAAGTCTTAAATTTTGTTATTAATTTTTTCATGTTTATTATGTCTTTTTAAATGTCCCTCTTTTATATTTTGTTATTTTATCTTTTACAGCAAATTGCCTAACAGCTAATTAGTTATGCAGTAAATATGCCTGCAGCAAAGATTTAGTTTGAAACTACAGGACACGCTTCTACATATGTGAGTGAGGCCATCCAGAACCGTCTAACCCCAGGCCAATCAGCCTGCTGACAACAGATGCTTGAGATGCTTGAGTAAGCCCAGTCCAGATCAGCGGAGGCTGGCACAGACCTGATGAAAACACCCACCAGAATCAGGAGCTAAACCAATGGCTGTTATTTTAAGCCATTAAGTTTTGGGGTACTTTGATACGTAGCAATTGATAACTGATTCAGTCTGTGTGCCAAATTTTAAAGAAGAATTAATACATTTTTCAAAATAAATTCTAGCAACGTTTGTATTTTCACTTCTGGAAATGATGATTGTAATAGTATATACCTATAAGTGCTGTGAAGACTGAATGCAATAGTAGAAGTAAAGCATCTAGAACAATGCCTGTTAAATACATGTTTCTATTATTACAACAATAATTTTTAACCTAGAGGGTTTTGTTTTTACAAAGAAATGCAGTAGTAATTGATTGTATTAGGCATTCAATACAGATTGTTATTTTGACATGGTAAATATATAGGATTTACTTCTTTGTTTCTGCTTGTATATTTTTGAAAGTATATTTTGGAAAGAATTTCAACATTTTTTTACTACTTAGATAAAAATGAGGAAAAGTGTATAGATTAAACTGTTTTCATAACTTATTTAATTTCACACTTCTCTTTTGATAAGTGTATATGCCAAAGTACAGAACTAAATATGCGTGAATTCC